GTCTAAGAGAAATTTAAAAAAAAAAAAAAAAAAAAAAAAAAAACGGGATTTAGGAAATTGAGAATTTAGTAATTAGTAATTAGTATATATACTTGGGTAATTTTCTAAATATAAAAACATTTAGGTATAGTTAGATACATAGATGTGAAGAAAGGAAATGTAAGAGTTTTTTATGCTTACATTTGAGATTGTATTAATTATAGAGGTGTTATTAAAGATGATTGGCTTTGGCTTGTGGTAACAATTGAATCATGCACAAGAGATGTTTGGTGTAGTGTAATGAAATTGGTTTGTTTCTCATGAATGTAATCATCGTGGCTATGTTTTAACTTTTAATCAGAGTTTGAAGACGCAATAATGAATATGCGAAGAAATATGTGGAACATAATAACTTATGGTTACAAAAAGCTAAAAGTTCGTTTATTAAGAATGCAAAGTTTCTATGAAATGTGGGGATAGCTCAGTTGGGAGAGTGTCAGACTGAAGATCTAAAGGTCACGTGTTCGATCCACGTTCATCGCAACTTAGCTTTGATGGTTTTAAAATATAAACCATACAATTATAAGTTAGTATTTTTCAAAAGATGATTTTCAACAGATAATCCATGGAAGTGTTCCGTTAACGTCTAGTGGTTAGGATATCGGAAGATTTCATATCTATCAATTTAGAGAAGATTTGTAGTGCAAAGTATGGTTTAATATATTGGCTTTCTCTCTGGGTATGTCCCGTGTAATTGTTTAGACGTCTCGGGTTTGCTTCCCTAGTTATTCTCGCCACGTTTCAAATAGAATAAACCAAACATTGCTTAAATACATTTTTCTTTATTTTTTTTTTATAAATAAAATCAATCTATTAAAGTAATATCATTAAAAATATCTCATTGAGATATTATAAATTCACTCATGTTGCTATATTTTTTCAATATATTCTTACTATATCTGTGTGATATATTAATAATATAGATGACCTATGATGACTTACTTTACCTACAATAGTGGCTTAATGACTATGCAATAGTAATTTAATGAACATGTAATAATATTTTGATGGACTAGCATAAATGACTTAACGAACTTGTAGGAGTGACTTTTTTATTTTTTTTTGAAAGGACTTGCAGTAGTGAGTTAACCGACTTGCAATAGTAATTTAACGAACATGCAATAATATCTCGGTAAACTTGTAAATTTAGTTCATGGAATTGTAATAATAGTAATTAAAAGAACATACAATTAGGGGTGGGAATTTCTATTTACAGTTCGGTTCCTTTTTTTTCTCGGTTTAATTTTTATTTTTTTAGTTTTGAAAATACGAAACCATTCTATTTAACATTGCAATTTAGTTTGGTTCGGTTAGCTTGAGAACATTAACATTTTCTAGTTCTTTAGCGCAATTAATTAATTATTTATATTATATTAATTTAAAATTAAAAATCGAATCAATACGTCAACGATGCATATTTCAAATTCCTCAATCAATAATGAGTCCAAACAACAAGACAACACTACATATTTAAAAATCCAATGTCCAAACATAACCTAAAACTTAATTCAAATTACAAGATAGCAATCTAAGTGTCTATTAGAAATAAAAAAACGGGATTTAAGGAATTGAGAATTTAGTAATTAGTAATTAGTATATATACTCGGGTAATTTTCTAAATATAAAAACGTTTCGGTATAGTTAGATACATAGATGTGAAGAAAGGAAATGTCAGAGTTTTTTTATGCTTACATTAGAGATTATAATAATTATAGAGGTGTTATTAAAGATAATTGGCTTTGGCTTGTGGTTACAAATTAATCATGCGCAAGAGATGTTTGGTGTAGTGTAATGAAATAGGTTTGTTTCTCATGAACGTAATCGTCGTGGCTATGTTTTAACTTTTAATCAGAGTTTGAAGATGCAATAATGACTATGCGAAAAAATATGTGGAACATAATAAATTATGGTTACAAAAAGCTAAAAGTCCGTTTATTATGAATGTAAAGTTTCTATGAGATGCGGGGATAACTCAGTTGGGAGAGCGTCAGACTGAAGATATGAAGGTCACGTGTTTGATCCATGTTCATCGCAACTTAGCTTTGATCGTTTTAAAATATCAACCATACAATTATAAGTAAATATTTTTCAAAAGATGATTTTCAACAGATAATCCATGGAAGCGTTCCGTTGTTGACCAACGGTTAGGATATTTGGCTTTCACCCAAGAGACCCGGGTTCGATTCCTGGCAACAGAAGATTTCATATCTATCAATTTAGAGAAGATTTGTGTTAAGTATTGGCTTTCTCCCTGGGTATGTCCCGTGTATTTGTTTAGACGTCTTGGGTTTGTTTCCCTAGTTATTCTCGCCAATATAATAATCCAAACATTGCTTAAATACATTTTTCTTTATTTCTTTTTTTTTTTATAAACAAAATCAATCTATCAAAGTAATATCGTTAAAAATATCTCATAGAGATATTATAAATTCACTCATGTTGCTATATATTTTTTCAATATATTCTTACAATAAATGTGTGAAATATTAATAATATAGATGACCTATGATGACTTACGTTACCTACAATAGTGTGGCTTAATGACTATGCAATAGTAATTTAATGAACATGTAATAATGTTTTGATGGACGAGCATAAATGACTTAATGAACTTGTAGGAGTGACTTTTTTTTTTTTTTTGAAAGGACTTGCAGTAGTGACTTAATCGACTTTAAATAGAAATTTATCGAACTTGCAATAATATCTTGATAAACTTGTAAATTTACTTAATGGAATTGTAATCTCTATATATAATATAGCAGAATCAAGGTAAAAAATTTTTCCCTCCATTTTGTGCATTTGAGAGTTATGGAATATCAAAGGTTTAGGAACTTAATAATCATCATAAGTCTTTATATATATATATATATATATATATATATATATATATAGAATTAGGTTCTGGTGCGGTTAGGGTGCCCAGGTGCGGTTAAAAAAAATACGTACAAATTTATAAATTTATGTAATCATGAATTAATTTCTACGAGTATTATATATCAATTTTGTTTATATAATACGTACTAACTTTTTAATTGTTTGTAATTTTGATTAGTTTTTTAATAATTTATTTACAAAGAAAGTTAGGTAAAGTAAAATTAAGTAGGGAAAAAAAATTTCCGCCTAACTGTGAATGCATATTAATAGATTTGTAAGATCATTATTTTTTTTTTTTGTGTAAACCACGAGGTGGTCCGGGTCTATCTCTGTCCGTTTAACTTTGTAAGATCATTATTGCAAATGAGGTTAGCAATATGAATGCACTTTTTGTCATATATTATGTTTAACATTTAAATATTACAATGTATAACTAAACTTACATTTTTAATAAAATTAATTCTACTATGTATCATAACATTACAACAATACTTATAAATTTTTATCCGTGCATTGCACGGGGCAAATACTAGTAATAGTAATTAAAAGAACCTACAATTAGGGGTGGGAATTTCTATTTACAGTTCGTGTCCTTTTTTTTTTTTCTCGGTTTGATTTATATTTTTTAAGTTTTGAAAATACGAAACCAATCTATTTAACATTGTAGTTTAGTTTGGTTCGGTCAATTTGAGAACATTAACATTCTCTTGTTTAGTTTGGTTCGGTCAGTTTGGCGTCGCCTCGACCACACGCCTCGGCCTTGGCTGAGGCGCTGCCTTGACCAAGAGGCCGAGGCACATTGGCTGAGGCACGGCCTCCGCCTTTTTTTTTTTTTTTTTTTTTATCTGCTTGTGGCCGAGGCGTGGCCGAGGCCGAGGCCTGTGGTCGAGGTGCGGCCTCGGCCTGTGGCCGAGGCGCCGCCTCAGCCACTTGGCCGAGTCGTGGCCTCGGCCTGTGGCCGATGCATGCGCCTCAGCCACTTGGCCGAGGCGCGGCCTCGACCAGGAGGCCGATGCGTGTGCCTCGGCCTTGGCGAGGCACGGCCTCAATCATATTTTTATTTTTATTTTTTTTTTATTTTTTTGACACGCTCTTTTCCTGACAGGCAGTTTTTGTACCCAAGTCTTGCGAGGTTATCTGTAACCGAGGTGAGGTTAGTGTCTTTTGCTTCATAATGGATGTCACTCCCTTGATTGATGTTGGAGAACTTGATTTTGATGAGGAATACCTTCTTGATGATTCCCCTCTTTTTGAAAATTTTCCCCCTCTTCTGTTTGTTGCTGACTCGCCTATACCTAAACCCCAAATGAAAAAGAAGAAAAAACGCAAGGCCTCCTATTCTGTTCTTGATAAGTCCCTTGTCTTGTCCATATAGCCTCAATTTGGGGGACGGGATTGGGATGATATTTGAGGTCTCCTTAGTCTTGACGTTCTGACTCTCCCTCCTGACCCTCATGGTAATATCACCGACCCACCCCTGGATAAGTATTTTGGGGTCCATCTTCTGTCGCTACAGGTTGGGCTGCGGTTTCCCCTTCATAGGTTTGTGATAGATTTTATGAACCACTACGAGATAGCCCCCGGCCAACTTGTTCCCAATGGTCACCAGGTAATTGCGGGTTTTCTTGCTCTATGTAAGGATAAAGGGATAGAACCCACGCTAGATCTTTTCCAGGCTCTTTTCATAGTTGGTAGGGCTTCTCAGGAGGGTAAGGGATTTGTCATGGTTTCGAGCAGGCCGCATTTCAAACTCTTTGAGGACCGTCCTACTTATAACAAGGATTGGAAACCCAAATATGTCTTTGTCACCCTTGTGGGTCATCCGTTTCCCTTTCGTGTCACGTGGGGATCCCATTTACGTTGCCCTCCTACTCTTGACATGAGTCCCTCCCTCCGCCGAGATGTAGATGATTTACTGGGGGATGGTCTTTTATCGATCGTTGATTATACTACCGAGTGGAAGCTCGCGGGCTTAGGCTTCGTGAGGGCTCATCCGGCTGTTCTTTCACCCACGGGTACTCTTCAATTACCACTCTGTATTTATTCGTCAACCACTAACTCTAACTTGTCTTCTTTTTATTGCAACCATGTCTTCATCTTCGAGAACTAGCCGATACTTGTCGCGATCGGATCCCCCCTCTAAGAAGAGCAAGGTGGAGAAAGGAAAAAAGAGTCAAGCCGAGGCCACGGAGGTGATGCCGCCTCCGCCAGCACGCACGCCGACCCCATCTAAGGTCGTTGAGCGTACGCCTACCCCAACTAAGGTCGCCGAGAGGGTGCGTACGCCTACTCCAGCTAAGATTGCCGAGGAGGTGCGTACGCCCACTCCAGCCAAGGTTGCCGAGGGGGTGACGCAGCCTCCACCGACTCGCACACCCACGGCCGTTACCTTTACCCCTCAACCCCCCGAGGTGCAAGGAGATACTTCCAATGAGTCTGGCTCGCGTGCTCGGACCAACTTGATCCAACTGGGCACGGACGTGCCACCCGGAGCGTCGTTGATAAATAAGAGCCTTGATGCGGTTGAGTATGCTGCTCGTATCGCTCCACCTACGGACTTGGAACACCTTGTCGCTATGGATGTCAACATGCTGCAAGAGCGTTATCTCAGGCACATTTTTGAGGTTAGTGTTTTCATACTTAATGTTCTCTCTCTGCCCTGGCGTGTGTCTTATTTTGTTTGTTACTTTCAGGCCCTGCTAGAGGGACAGATCATTCATGCCCAACGATGGCGGGTGACTGACTCGCTCATTGAGGATGTTAAAATTAGGGACGTGGACAACAAGAGCCTCAAGGACCTGCTATCGATCTGGGAAGGGGCTTTGAGCAAGATGGAAGGCGAGCTCGGGGTGCTAAGGAAGGAGCACCAAGCGTTGTTGGCTCGGGCGGAGGCTATAAGCAAGATGGAGGGCGAGCTTGAGGCCCTGAGGAAAGAGCACGGAGCGGCTAAACTTGCCATCGTGAAGGAGCGGGAGGACCACGAGAGGACCCGTGCTGGCCATGCCGACGCCCTCGGCCGGGCTGTGGAGGTCTACAAGAGTTCCGCCGAGTTTAGGGAGGACGCGATGCACTATATGTGCACTCCTGAGGCTATCTGAGAATTCCTCAAGACTGGGGCTGGTCAAGAGGCGGTTGAGGCTGAGGCACAGGTGGCATTTAACATTGGGAGGTACACGAAGCAACAGGAGATCTTTTCAGTGCTGAGGGAGAAGCTTCCAAATTTTGACCCCGTGTCCCTCGGCTTGCCTGTAATAGAGAAGAATCCGGATCCTGATGCTGAGAATGAATCCACTGATGATGTTACGGACGCTCGTGAGGATTCTTTGGTGGACGAGTTTCACGGCATCGACACTAGCAACGTCCCCAATGTTCCACTTGATCAGATTATGATTGAGGAGCTCTCGGATCATGAGTAGTTCGTAGTCTTGAGATTTTCCCTTCCTTTCTAGCTATGTCTTTGAACAATTTGCTTTCTATGTTTGAACAACTTGCTACTATTTTTAGAATATTCGAAATAAACTAGTTACTTCGGAATAAACATGTTATAATTTTTTTTTTTTGCTTGCCGAGTCCGAGTCGGCGTTGGTCGAGGCGTGCCTTGGCCAAATTGTCGGCCAACCTTTGGCCGAGGGCGTGCGCCTCGGCCATCCGAGCATCTATATATATATATATATATATATATATATATATATATATATATATATTATTTTATTTTATTTTATTTTATTTATTTATTTTTTTTTTTTTTACAACACGGGCGGACCATGAGAACGAGATATTATTTCAGAAAATTTCGTAAAAGATGATAACGAATTTGTTTTAGTAAATAACATGGAAGGACCATGAAAGTAAGATATTATTTCCAAGAATTTTAGCGTGTAGAGCGGACGTACCGCGATTGCCAAGTACTACTTCCAATGATTGCTACAACAGGATTTTTAAGGAAAGTACTTGATCAAATGTTCCGAGTTCCATACCCGTGGATCGATCATTCTTCCCCATGTAGTTTTTAACTTGTATGTTCCTGGGCGAACGACTTCCTCCACGGCGTAAGGCCCCTCCCACTTCTTTGCGAATTTTCCCCCTTCAAGGGGTTGGCTGGCTTCCCTTCTTCACAACACAAGGTCGCCGGCCTGGAAGTACCGGGGTCGGACTTTTGCGTCGTGGTAGGACTTTAGCTGACGACCGTAGTTCTCCATCTTGTAGAATGCCGCTTCTCTTTTTTCATCCAAGAAGTTCAGATCCACCCTTTGGTGGAGTTCATTTTGTTCTGACTCGAACTCATCCACCCTTCTACTAGGTATGATTACTTCCACCAGGGCTCGAGCTTCGAATCCATAGGCGATTGCGAACGGGGTTTCCCCGGTGGCCCTTCTTGGTGTCGTGCGATAGGCCCAGAGGATGCCGTCGAGTTCCTCCACCCAGGCTCCGCCAGCCACTTATAGCTTTTTCTTGAGGCCGTCGAGTATGGTTCTATTCGCATTCTCCACTTGCCCATTCGGTTGAGGATAAGATACCGCCACCTGGCTATGCTTAACGCCCCATCCTGCTAAGATTTCTGAAAATTCTCGTGCCTCGAACTGACGGCCTTTGTCTGTGATTACCTGGAGAGGGATACCGAAACGATACAGGATGTTTTCTCGACAAACCTTTTGCACCTTGCTGCGGTGATGCTGGCCAGGGGCTCGGCCTCCATCCATTTCGTGAAATAGTCGATGGCCACAATGATGTACTTCCTGCTTCCAGTCCCCGTGGGAAGGGCCCCTACCAAGTCAATTCCCCATCTCGAAAAAGGAATCGCGGTGCTTACCGGGGTGTAGTTCGTCGCAGGTCGACCCGGCAGTGCTTGGAATTTTTGGCACTTGGGACATCGCTTTGTATACTCAGCGCAGTCCCTCAGCATTTTGGGCCAAAAATACCCTTGTAACATGATGCGGCGTGCGATGGTGTACGCCCCTTGGTGCGCCGAGCATACCCCCTCGTGGACTTCTTTTATCACCAACTTCGCTTCATCTAGATATAGACACCTCAGTAACGTGCCGTTGTAGGAGCGTTTGTACAGTTTATCGTCCGAGACAACGTAGCTGGGTGCCCGTAACTTCGTTACCTTTGCGTGTGCCTCGTCTTGCGATAGGGTGCCATCTGCCTTGTATCGTTTGATATGATCAATCCAACATGGCTCCCTAGTCTGCACAGGGAAGACCCACGAAACGTCGATACTTGAAGTCTCGAGGTCTTCTAGTCGAGCGATCTTCCTAATGTGGCTGGGGACTCCGGTACTTAGCTTTGAGAGCATGTCGGCGTCGGCGTTCTGCTCTCTAGGTACCTGGTGTATCTCATATCCCTCAAACTCGTGCAGGGTTCTCAACACCGCGTCTCTGTATTTCTGCATGCTTCCTTCGTTGGCTTCATACTCCCCAGACACCTGGCTGACTACCAGCTTGGAATCGCATCGAATTCGGACCTTCTCAGCTCGTAGTCCCACCGCCAATCGCAGTCCATTGAGGAGAGCCTCGTACTCTGCCTCATTGTTAGATAATTTGAAGTGGAATCAGATGACATAGTAGGCGCGGAATCCCTTCGGAGTGACGAGCACTATGCCACCGCCGCAACCTTTGCTGTTTGAAGAGCCGTCTGTGGACAAGGTCCACCACCCTCCATCTTCAGTTTCTACCTAGTCCGTCACTTCCCGAGCTGTGCACTCCACTATAAAGTCTGCAAGAGCTTGGCCTTTGATGGCGGGCCTTGGTTTGAAATCTATGTCAAACTGACAGAGGTGCATGGCCCATCGTGCCATCCTGGCGGAGCTGTTAGTATTCCGTAGGAAGCTCCCCAACGGCTGATGTGAGAGTACGTAGATGGGGTGAGCTTGGAAGTAGTGAGCCAACCTTTTTGATGAAGTGACTATGGCAAATACTGTTTTCTCCAACACACTGTACCGGAGCTCCGCGTCGTGTAGGGCTTTGCTTACGTAGTAGATGGGACGCTGAGTCCCTCCTTCTTCTTTGACCAACACGGAGCTGATCGCACCCTGTGACACGCCCAAGTACAGGATTTGGGTTTCACCTGCCTCTGGCTTTACAAGCAGGGGCGGGACAACAAGTATTTTATCAACTCTTCGAAGGCCTTTTGACAGTCTGGCGTCCACTCGAACCCTTTGCTCTTTTTCAAGATTTGGAAGAAGGGGAGGGAACGTTTAGCCGATTTAGATAGAAAACGGCCTAAGGCCGCCAGACGCCCGTTGAGTCTCTGGACTTCCTTTATGGACCGCAGAGGCTCCATGTCAAGGATAGTCCTTACTTTTTCTGGATTCGGCTCAATGCCGTTCCTAGTGACCATGAAGCCCAAAAACTTGCCCCCATCAACGGCGAAGGTGCATTTTTTTGGGTTCAAGCGCAAATTAAATTTCTTCATAATGGAAAATACCTCGCTGAGATCCTCGGCATGGGAGGTGGCCTTGCGACTTTTGACGATCATGTCGTCCACATATGCTTCCATGTTTCGTCCCAGTACTGTCTTGAACAGCTTTGCCACCATGCGAGTGTATGTGGCCTCGGCATTCTTCAATCCGAACGGCATGACCAAGTAGCAGAATATCCCCTCAGGAGTGGTGAAGGCGGTCTTCTCGGCGTCCCCCTCATACATGGATATCTGATGGTACCCACGGAAGGCGTCCATGAAGCTCATGAGTTCACACCCTGCCGTCTCATCCACCAATTGATCTATATTGGGTAGTGGAAAACAGTCCATAGGGCATGCCCTATTGAGGTCCGTGTAGTCTACACACATCCTCCACGTTGATCCTTTGGGAGCCAAGACTACGTTGCTCAGCCACTGTGGGTAGTAAATCTCCTTGATGTGCCCTACGTTGAGTAATGCGGTCACCTCCTTTTTCACGAACTCTCTTCATTCTGCCGACATATACCTTTTTCGCTGATGCACTGGTTTTCCCCTGGGGTCGACTGCGAGCTTGTGGGTTATGATCCTTGGATCTATGCCCGGCATGTCCTCTGGCCCCCATGCGAACACCGTGTGAGAACGGCGGATTACATCCACTATCTGGGCCCTTAGCTCTGGGCTTAAGCCTGTGCCGATCCTCACCACCCGGTCTGGTCTGGAGCAGAACTATATTTTCCGTCTTTGACACGGGCTCGACACGGGGCTAGGCCTCTTCTTCTTTGAAAATTTTCTCCGCGATCGTGTGGACCTGTATGTCCTTGCTGCCAATCTTCTTGCATGCCTTCACGTAGCAACTGCGGGCTGCCCGTTGGTCACCTCTGATGACTCCTATTCCATTCGGAGTGGGGAACTTCATACACAAGTGTTCCACCGATACTATGGCCTTGAGGTCCTCCAATGCTGGCCTCCCGAGTATGATGTTGTGCGCACAGGTGAGTCTTACCACGATGAACTCCATCTCCAGCTTGCGAACGTTGGGGCTCGTGCCTATTTCCATGGGCAGGGTCACCGACCCTTTTGTTTCCACCGAATCCCTAGTAAACCCAGAGAGTGGAGTTCGTACCTCTTTGAGCTGGCCTCTGGGTAGCCCTAACTAGGTGAAAGCGTCGTAGTACATCACTTTAACCGAGCTTCCCGTGTCGACCAAGATGCGATGTACGATCGTATCATTGATATCCATCTTGATCACAAGTGCGTCGTGATGGGGTAAGGGGCCCTCGGGGACGTCCTCGTCAGAGAAAGTGATGGCCTCCCGCCTTTGCTTCTTTCCTTTGGGAAGACTTACCACTTCTCCCACGTACAACTGTCTGCTCCACTTTTTCCTCTCTGTGGGTGTGTCGCCCCCCGCAGGTCCACCATAGATGAAGTGTATGGTGTGTTTCTTTTGTCGTCTGGGCGCCACCTCGGTTTCCTTCTCGCTATCATCCTGCTCAGATATCTGGTCATGTTCTCTTTTCTTGGTGTTCGAGGTGGACGGCTCAGCGCCAACCTCATTCCTCTAGACATTTTTTGGTGGATTTTTTTATGGATCGCGCTGCGGCTGTTTCTGCTGCTTGGATTGCTTGACGAAATGCCGGAAGTAGCCCTACTGGATGAGTTCTTCTATTTGTCTCTTCAGTACATTACATTCATCCGTGTCGTGTTCGGGTTGCCTATGGAACCTGCAGTACTTTGCTTGGTCTCCTTTTAGGGAGACCTTCATGCACTCTGGTGGGAACTCGACTATTCCCATCTCCTCAGCCTATTTTAGGATGACGCTGACGGGATGGGTAAGAGGAGTTAGGTTACGCAGGGGAACCAGGCGAGGCCGTTCATGGTCCCGGCCCTTCCCTGCGACCGGGTGGTTTGAACGTGGTGCCTGGTAGGACGGACCAGCTTTCCCAGGTTTCCCGTTTTTTCTGCCGTCCTCCTCATCTTTCTTTTTCCTGTCGACGTCCTCTGCTTTGGCATAGCGGCT